CCCCAAGACCCCGGCCTCACCCGGCAGCGTGCGCACCCGGAGGTGCTGCGGCTTCAAGGGGTGCTCGTTGGACTCGGGCACCAGCGCCACGTCGTAGTCCGTGTCGGGGTTCAGGTCGGCCCAGGCCCAGCCCGTGGCGTTCCCCGGCAGCTGCCGGCGACGCATGGTTCCCGGCTCCGCGCTCGGTGCCAGTTCCAACACGTAATAACCCGAGTCGGCGGTCAGCAGGGGCGGCCAGGCCAGGCGGAAGCCGCTGGACGTGACCTCCGAGGCTCGGAGCTGCTGCTGCTGCGGCTGCACAGCGTCTGCGGATGGCGAAGGGGGTCAGGGAACCAAGGTCACCTCCTCGTGCCCAGGCCCGGGGCCGTAGCTGCTCACTCAAGGGAGGCTGGTAGATAGTGGGGGACCCCCTCCCCGGGGAGACGCAGGGAACAGGAGTGCTGGGGGGCCTGCCCAGCAGTTGCTAGTAATATGCAAACCCGTGACCCGGCTGGGGGAAGGACAGGAATGCAGCCCCCCACTCTGGCCCCATCAGGAGTGTCCGTGCCCGCCTCAGCCCCAGCCCGCTGGAAAGCTGTCTAGGCCACCTCCCACCCAGCCCAGTGGCCCGGACCAGGGCCCCTGAAAGGTGACAGGGCGCCAGGTGGTGTCTGAGAAACAGAGGACTAACCCCCCCACCCAGCCAGAGTGGCACAGGGCCTGGGGGTCAGCTTAGCTCTGGATAGTCAAGGCAAAGGCAAGGGGGGCCCACGATGCAGCCAGGAGATGGGAGGCTACCAGGGACGCCCTGCCCTGTGGAGTGGTGGAGAGATGACAACTCCAAGAGCAGCTGGACCTGGGGCTGGGCATGCTGTCTGCCTCAGGTCTCCAGGAGAATGTGACCCCCAAAGTGGGATCCCCCAAACGTGCATCACTCCTGAGCCACCTGGCGGATGTGGCTGATACATGTCTGGGCAGGGTTAAGCCTGTCAGGATCCTGTGCTTCCTCCTCTAACGCTGGGGGCCCCAACTGCCGGCCTGGCCCTCACTCGCCTGCCCACCCCCACAGGCAGACCCGCTCCCAATCCCAGGAGCCCCCCACACTGCCTGACTGCCCTGCAGCCTCTCTTCCCTGCCCAGTGACTTGCTTTTTCTCTTGATGACCCCCTCCAGGCTCAGCCACAGCCACAAAGGTTGATTTGGTGCAGCCTGGGGCAACCAGGGGCCACGTGTCCCTGGAGGAAATCTTCAGAAGCACCCTGTACCCCTCTACAACCCATAGTCCAGCCCCATCTGGTTTCGGGTGGATGATTAACCCACAGGCGGAGACTTGGGAAGAACCCTGGGGTTAGGGGCATTTTTCAGTGGCTACAACAGGCCGAGCCAGTAACCAGGCCCTTCATTTCCAGCCCCGCCCCCTGTGTGGTTTGGCTGGATCAAGGGTCCAGAAGAAAGTCTGAGGGGAGCTGCTTGCAAACCTGCTTAAAGCCCTCTAGCTGTCCTCACCCCGGGGGGACACTAGGGTGAAGTAGAGCCCTACCGAGGCAGTTCCAGCCCTTCCTGACCTGGTTCCCAGCTCCAGACATGGCTGGCGCTGGCACAGGTACAGGAGTACCTGCTGCTCATCTGCAGAGTCCTCACCATTCAGCCACACCCCACCAGTGCAGCCCTCGGTTCCTGGGCCCACACCAAGTCCCCAATTCTGTGGAGCCTCCAGCAATGGGCTGGGCCGGTCAGAGAGAGCCCCACCTGGAGCTGTTTACACAAGCCTGCCTCCTGTCTCCACAGCCCAGGCAGTGGGGCACCTCCCTGATGAACCCCTGGGGGGCACCACTGTCCTGCCGCCCTGGCCCCTGCTCCAGGCACACAAATTCCTCCTAAAATTTCACCCCAGGTCTCTTCCTCGGTTCCAGCTGGGGTCACCCGCAGGCTCTGCTCCTCCCATCTACCAAGAATTAAGTCCCTCAGCTCCTGGGTGCCCCAGGCTCTGCCTCCTCCCACCTACCGAGAATGGAGTCCCTCAGCTCCTGGGCGATGATGCGCAGGTCGTCCACATCCACGAAGTGCAGGTGCTTCTCAGCAGGGGCCGAGGCGGCGGCCGACAGCTCCAGGAAGTTGCCCCGGCCCGTACTGACGATGAAGACGGTGACACCCAGGTCCTTCAGCTCCTGCATGGGGGGCCCCACGGGGTCGCTGGAGCCGCCATCTGTCACCCACACCAGCACCTTGGGCACCCCCGGCCGGGCCCCTGCAGCTTCAGCAAACAGCTGCTCCTTGACATATTCCAGCGCCAGGCCAGTGTTGGTGTTGCCCATGAGCTGGGCTGCAGCACGTATGGCATCCTGGACAGCCGCACCTGAGCTGTGCTGGCCGAAGGGGAACTCTGTGTGCGGCCGGCTGCTGACATGCACCAGGCTGGCACGCAGGGCCTCGGGGCCCACGGGCAGTGGGGCTGCCAGCTGCCCCAAAAACTCCCGAACTCGGGAAAATTCATAATGAGACACACTGGCAGAGCTGTCCAACAGAAAGAGCAGGTCCCCCTGGGGGGCTGATGCCTGGGGCCCTGGGGGAGAGGGGGAGGGTTCAGCCCCAGGTGGTGGCTCCCAGACAGCCCCACACCCATGGCAGAACCCCCAGGGCCTGAGCTTTCCCTAAACTGGCGCTTGCCTTCACCCAAGTAGGCCCTGAAAGCTTGCTCAGTCCCACCCCAAAGGTCCTGGGGGTGGCAGCCAGGGGGCAGAGGGATCCTGAGCTAACAAGAAGTCCACACTCTCAGTGGGTCCCAGCTCTGTACCCTGGCCATGTACCTGGGGCACTGTCTGGGCTCCTATCTCATCTGTAAAGGAAAGCCCACCCCTCCAAGCCCAGACACCCTCCCTTTCCGCAGCAGACTGCAAGCAGGCTGGATCCAAGGGTCCTGGCCCAGTACTCAGGGTGGCAAGTGGGCAGGCGTGGGCGGTTAGGGGCTGCTCCCTTCAAAGAAGGAGCCCCCCAGGCTGGAGATCAGCCATACAGCTCAGCCTCCAGGTAAGGCAACAGGTGGGATATGGGGGGAGAGGGGTCCCAAAGCAGT